TGGAATTGCTGGGTCAAATGGTATCTCTATTTGCAACTTTTTGAGAAAGCGCCATACCGCCTCCCATTGTACACTCCCACCAACAGTGAATAAGGGCTCCAGTTTCTCCACAACCTCGCCAGCATTTGTTGCTTGCTGTTCTGATAAATTTTGCTATTCTGACTGGGGTGAGATGATATCTCATAGTTGTTTTTATTTGCATCTCTCTTAGAGCTAGGGATTTTCAACCTTTCTTCATGTGCCTGTCAGACATATGAATTTCTTCTTTGGTGAAGTGTCTGTTCATATCCTGTGCCCATTTTTCAACTGGATTATTTACCTTTATCTTGTGATAAGGAAAAATATTTATGGTGATAAGTCTGTAGAGACTTCAGTGTTGGCATAGAAGAAGAGCTTGATGATCTTTTTTCAGGAGATTCCACATCCTTTAAAACCTTGGTGGAGCAGTTCTCTTGTACACCTGAGTCGCCATAGATTCATATTGATTTGACAGCAACTAACAATGGCATGCACTATTTCTTTTCATTTAGTGTCATACCTTGTGCTGCTCTTTCATATATATATTGTTTTCTTTAATCATCACAACTCTGTAAAGTATGTAGCAATATATGTTTTTTAAAAATATACTTTATAGTAATGAGGAAACATTATTAAATAGAGTATAAATTACTGAAGGCCCTACCGATGTTAAATATCAGAATTAGGAAGTGACCACTAGTCTTCTAATTCCAAATCTGAAGTTCTTTCCTTCATACCACAGTGTTTCCTTCTCTGGAATTGCATGAAAGACTACCCTCAAGATAAATCACTCATCATGATGTATTAAAGATATTTGGATTATGGAAATAATATTATTGTTTGGTCTACCATTTACTCTGTGACCATTAGGAAGTTACTTAACTTTTTTTCTCCCATCTATGTAATGAGAATATGGTGACAACAATATGGTTAGTAACAAAATGGTTACTAACTTTCATAATGTAAAGAGCAACAATGAATGAATGGAAATCTAAAGTCTTTGTAAACTTCCATAAACCACCACCACCATAATGTAATGTATGTGAAAGCATTTGTTACTGTTAGGTGCTGGGCAATTAAGTAAAAACTTCATAGCAAATCTGTGAACAACAGATGAACCCTGCCCTATCCTGCGCCATCCCCACAATCTCTGCCATGCTCAAGACTTTTGTACTCATTATGTCAGTCCATCTCTTTGAGGATCTTCCTTTCTTTCTCTGACCCTCTTTTTTTTTTTTTAATGTGTGTACCTTCAAACTGGATCTGACTGGTACAGGAGGCGACGGTCCCTCCTTCTTCAGCAGAGCATCTGGTAGATTTGAACCGCGCACCTCTGGGATTGCAATGCAGTTTCCTGCCACTAGGCCACCAGAGCTCGCCCTGACCCTCTTTTTTAAGGACTTATACCTGTTGAAAATATGCTTAAAGTATGTGAGATGAAGTTTCACTACCCTTACCTCTTATGGAGCACTCTGCTTGAACTTCCTCAAAGACAGACTTACTTGTTTATTTAGTAATCTTTGCCAGTACCACAATTCAAAGTCCTCAATTCTTCTTAGATCTTCTGTTTCAATCTTTCAGATGCATACAAACCAACTGAAAATACCCTGGCTTAAATCAGGCATTCCTTAGTCTTTAAGATCCTTGACAATAGGTTTCTCTAATGCAGTGTGACTTTTTATTGCTTGACGGCTGCTACCAAGGGTATTAATTATGGAGCCAAATAAAATTAATTTCTTATTAACTTCAACATTTTCTTTATCTAACATGATGTTGCCTGCTGGTCTAGTGTGAGAATTTTGGTTTTCTTTTTTTAAAAAAATTAATCTTTTTTGTGTATGTACCATCAGATTTGATCTGACTGATACAGGAGGAGATTGCCCCTCCTTCTCCAGCGGAGCATCTGGTAGATTTGAACCGTGCATCTCTGGGATTACAGTGCAGCTTCTTGCCACTAGGCCACCAGAGTGCCCTCAGAATTTTTGTTTTCTTAATGTTCCGGGTGGCTCCTTGGAGGCAAGGATTCTGAGGCTCTGTCTGACATACTTTGGATATGTTGTGAGGAGAGACCGGTCCTTGGAGAAGGACATCATGCTTGGGAGGGTGGAGGGACAGCGCAGGAGGGGAAGGCCCTCTAGGAGGTGGATTCATTCAGTGACTGGGATAATCGGGATGGGAGTGTCAGAGACAGTGCGATTGGCACAGGACAGAGCAGAGTTTAGGGCTGTTGTACATAGGGTAGCTATGAGTTGCAAGCGACTCGACGGCACTTAACAAAAACAACAATAGTGTTGAGATGTAACCCATATTGAAGGCTGCAGCCTTTG